GTGGCTGGTGGGTTTGAACCGCCAGCCTTCTGGCTAGCAGTCAAGTGCCTTAGGCACTATGCTACCAGAGCTCCTAAAGTTGTTAACTACTATTCTTTTATTATCCTGTTATTGTCTGAATGGTCTGTAGTGATGTTCTCTCTTTTATTCCTAATACAGGGAATTTTTAATCTTTCCCTTTTTTCTTCATTGATCTAGGTAGAGCTTCATTAATTTGGAGGGCATTCTCTAGTTCATAAGAATATTATTGGCTTTTGATGGCAGTCAATCTCTCTTTTTCTTAGGCTGACTGAAAAAGTTTCCCTTTAGTCCTTATTCAGAAAGAGAACGAAACAAGCTCCTGCGTTGTTATCTGAGGGAGGCCCTTTTAGAGGCAAAATTTTCAAATAATACTCCCACAACGGAGGGAAAAGGGAGCCACCTTCACTGTAAACTAGAGGCTTAGGCCTAACCTTACTGCCAAGCACAATGACCCATAATAATAAAGATAATCAGATTTCTTAAAAAACTTTTTTATTTTGGAATAATTACAGATTTATAAAAGTTGCAAAGATAGTACAGAAAAGTCCTGTGTATACTTTACCCAGTTTCTGCCATTGATTACTCCTTACATAATTATAGTACAAGATTGAAACTGGGAATTTGATCGGAAGGAAGGTTGGGCAATCCTACTTCTGTAGTGATACTGCCTCGGAAATCCAAGGAGGGGTTGCTATGAGTCAGGGCCGACTCGACGGCACATAACAACAACAACACTATATGTATATAAAGCGCCATTTTATCATTTGTAGGGTCAAGTAATCACCACCACAATCAAAATACAGTATTATTCTTCACCAGAAAGCTCTCCCTCTTTTTACCCCTTTATAGTCACACCCAGTCTCCACATTCTCACTATCCCTAGTCCCTGGCAACCACTAATTTGTTTCCCGCCCCTATAATTTTGTCATTTTGAGAGTGCCATATAAACTAAATCATACTTTATGTGATCTTTTGAGATTGGCATTTTTCCACTCAGCATAATTCTTAGAGATACACCCAGGTTATTGCATGTATCAATAGTTTGATACTTTTTATTGGTGAACATTCTTCTAAGATATGTACCATAGTTTTATTGAACAATTCACTTATCATAGGAATTTTGGTTGTTTCCAGTTTGGAGCTGTTACAAATAAAGCTGCTATGAACAATCATGTATACGGTTTTTGTGTGAATATAAATTTTCATTCTCTGGGATAAATACCCAGAAGTATAATTGCTGGGTCATATGGTAATTTCAACTCACGTTTTATAAGGAACTGCCCAACTATTTTCCAGAGTGGTTGTACCATTTTAGATTCCAACCAGCAATGTATGAAAGGTTCAGATTTTGAAACAGAAATTAATCACTGAGGATGAATCAATTATAATCTCTGAACAGGTACAGAACACAATAATAAGCAATCTGGGAGAAGGCAAAATAAATAATTATGTAGGTAAATTACCATAAAGATTCACACACTTTAAGAAAATACCGGCAACTCACTGTCCCCTAAGGCTCCTTCTAATCTTTTGAATTGTTGTTGCCAATTGGATCCCATAGAGATATTCTTAAAAGAGCATAGTGCTCCAGGCAGACATTTTTCCCAGTTAAGCTAAAAGACTGTTTGGTTTTAAGAAAACCTAAGGTGGTATTTTTGGTTACAGGTTTAGAGATTATCTCAGGAATTCATCTAGACTTCATGGCTCCAGAAAGTCTGGAGTTCATAATATTTTTAAATTCTGCTCTGTATTTTTTCCTTTTGATCAGGAATCTTCTATAAAATCTTCCATGAAAATGTTCAGTAATGGTAGTCAGGCACCATCCAATTCTTTTGGTCTCAAGGCAAAGAAGGCAATTTTTCATGGAGGCAGTTAGCCACATATTCCATTACCTCCTACTACTCCTGACTCTCCTTTTTCTTCTGTTGCTCCAGAACCTTCATGAGGGGGCAGTGAGTTTATGTTAATGGGGGAAGAATAACTCAGAAAAAGAGGGTAAAAATGGTTGTATAATTCAAAGGATGTAATCAATGTCACTGAATTTTACATGTAGAAACTGTTGAACTGGTGTACATTTTGCTGCATATATTCCACAAATGCTCAATCAATCAATCAATACTGGCTAAAGCCTCTTACCTTCTTTAAACTGTATCCAGCATGGAAAATAATTGGAGGCAGTAGAATATTAAAAAACACCTCTGGATCAAATGTTACCTAAAAGTTGAAAAAGAAAAAAGCCAATATTTAATTTAATACCAATAAGAACTATAACAGGTTTCCATTAGTCAAAACCAACTTGATGGCAACAGTGCTGTAATATTTGTTTAATATTTTAAACCATTAACTTAGGTTTGAATATTTTAGAGCAAATAACGTAAATGTGGGAAAACATGGACTCATTACTGAACAACCTCCCTTGTGGACTAATATGGTCTTCTCCCCACAATACTACTGACTTCTAACCTTCATATGTTGCTTGAATACATATTAAGACACAACAGCTCCAAACAATTTTGAGAACCCACAGAAAGTTTCTGGCTAATGTTTATAAACAAGAAATAGAAAATATCTTGATTGTTATCAATCCTTATAAAGGCTTAACTGCAACAAAAGATGCAATCATGATTTTTTATTTCCTGGATCCTCTTATAGAATCATTTACAGACATAACTCTACTAAATTGAATCCTCTTTCGAGTGACGAGCCTTCTGTGGCACTTAATGTGAGCTAGATCAAAGTCACCAGTGATGCTAGCAGCTTCCCAAACATCAACATAAATTCAGCAGTTCTAAGGATAATGAAATTATGTGTAGATTTGATGTAGGGAAATCACTCTGAAGCTATCAAACAGCAAAGTTTTATCATATCTAAAAATGAATTAAGCATTCTATAAACCTGCTAAGCTTTTTAAAGAATGTATTCATATTGGTACATTTATTGGCTTTTATTTGAATTAATTATTTTAAACCTTCATTCTAATTATTAAAAGTAAAGTTTTCTTTTTAGGGAAACTGGAAATGTTAGTATGTCTAATTAAAAGTAGAATGGTTCTTTCGGATTCTATTTTATTCTTTCTTCTTGCTGAAGACAAAAGTTCATCTGAAAAGCAGGGACTGTCAGAAAGAGAAGGGACCTCAGTCAGTAATACCAGTTGCCACTGATTCCAACTCATAGTGACTCCACGTGTTACAGTAGAATATGACCCATACCATTTTCAGTGGCTAAATTTTCAAAAGTAGATCACCATGCTTTTCTTCCAAGTGTACGTTTGGGTACACTTGAACCTCCAACCCTTCAGTCAGCAGTTAAGTGCATTAACCATTTGTACCACTAAGAGACTCCTGAACAAGATCGACCTCACATGAGGACATGGAACACAGAGGGTGGGACTTGCTGGAAGTCACCTAGTAATGTACAAACTAGTACAAAGGTTTTCTGACACCCAATCCAATGCTCTTTGCACCTACCAAGATGCCCCAACATATCTCTTCTTTCAACTAGCAATAACAATCCTGTTTGTTCTCCCACCTCTGCTTTGTGTGATAAAATTTTAAGCAGAGGGAATTTGAATAAGAATTTTTTCTAAGATGATAGAGCAAAAGTTAACTTCATCTTCTATTATAATTTACAAAATGGAAATAGGCCGGGATCTTTTCCCTTTTTTTCCCCTTTATTATACCCAGTATGAAGGGTTCAACATACCATTTTAAAATAGCCATTAGCATGGTATTTATTCTAGGAGCTCAGGTAGCATAGTGCCTAAGACTACTAACCAGAAGGCTGGTGGTTCAAACCCACCAGCCACTCCTCGGAAGGAAGATGGGGCAATCTACTTCCGTAGTGATACTGCCTCGGAAACCCAAGGAGGAGTCGCTATGAGTCGGGTCCGACTTGATGGCACATAACAACAACAACAACAATCATTATCAGCTGCATTTAATTTCACCAGTGTTTATGGAAATTCTATTCATTATTTAGAAGGTTTTAAAGAGTACACTAGTACTGCCATTAGGAATACAGAAAACTAGGCTAAGTTTAATGCTCTAGGTGAAGACAAATTTTTTTTAAGGATTAGAGTCAATTCTGAGAGCAAGAAGTACACTCTGCCTTGACTGCAAGCCTTCACACACATTAGCTTTGTTCTACATTCAAAGGAGGCTCCCTGCAACTTGGATTCCCCAGACCACTCTGCAGAAGCCTTCCTGCTGATAACTTCTGGTCTATAAAGTAATGAAATGTATGTCAACAAATACAGATCTCTTGCTTATCCTGGAAATTACCCATGTGAGGAAACACAGAATCCTTTTTCCTGCCTCCAACATCAAATGATAAAAATGTTTGGGCTTACATTCTTAAAACAAGGCCTTCTTCCCCTGAAGATTCATTAAGCCCTTGGCATCAACCACCAATGAGAGTAGACTCCCCAATAAACATTTGTAGAACACAGGAAAAGAACAATGAAGAACTAAGAATTACACTTCTGAACCATGAATAAATAAGGTAAAAGTGGACTAAATATTATTTTAAGAAAGTAACAATTTCTAACCCACAGCAAGGATAACACACATAGTAAAGAAGAAATGGGAGTTAAGGAGATGAGCTGTGTGGGAATGTACAACCACACGGCACAGTCAGTCCCCATGTCGACTCCTAATCCTAACAAGCTCAAGGTGGTCACCAAGCTGAAAGGCTTGGGTTCAAATCTGGTTCCTTCATCTTCTCATCACAGCCCAAAAGCTGCCTGCCAAAACTGAGAGCCAGGAATGTTACTTATATTCCAGGAATTTGAAAAAATTTCTCTTCACAGAGTCAAGACAGAGTTAGGAAATAAAACTCATGTCAGGCAATAATGGCTGAGTGTCCCCTGCTCACCTTTCTCAGCATGTCATTCTGCTCTACACTGTTGATCTTGCCAGGGCTGATCTCTCCTTTCAGGGTGTATTCGAAGAACTTCCCACTGACATTCACTAATAAGGTGCTGAAGGCCCTGTCTTCCTGAGTGCAGCTGAGGGATTTGTCACGGCCACTGGTGGCAGGAGTGCCATATCTCAGGATCACCCCGACGATGAGTCCTGAAACAGAGGGGGTAAAAAACATCAGCCCTGTAGAAGGACAGAGAAAGTGTGGAAATAATGTCACAGTCGATTCTCAACAACTAAGACATTCAGAAGTGGTATTTTAAGTTTGTATTTTGGGAGCAACTCTACTGTCCTTCAGAAAAAGCTACACATCCATCCTTTCTGGTTTAAGTCCCTTCAGTCACCAGGAAAACGAAATGGGACGGTACCCTTGGTAGTTATAATGGCACTTTCAGTACTTTTAACCACTGATAAAGTCTTATTTCTTGGGCTTTTGGTGGAGGAAGATGGGATGATAAGAAGCAAAACTTTTTCTGCCAAGGATAGCACAAAGCAGAACTGCTGAGCTCTTTGATTTTCACCAGCAGCATCCCTCAAGCCAGTCCTGCTACTGTCTGCCAGCAAAGACCAGGCCACTGGAATTTAAAGTTGCTATAAATGCAATTTGCTTTGCCACACACCAGAGAAAAGAACAAAATGAAATGCTTTTGCTTAAGTAATTCCAAGCCCTGGGTATCCTGGAGAAAGTAATTACATCCCTGAGGGAGTTAAGTACTGCACTTCAAATTTTAGCAATCATGATTCAGGAACAGTACAGCTGGCTTCTTGGGGCTGTGGCTATGATACAGCTATGTTAATCAGCTGCAAGTCTTTATGTCTTATTTAATTCTTAGTAGAAATTATAGGGAAAAGTAACAGCAAAATAGTTTATAAGCACTGAATTCTGTGAGTGAGGAAAGTCCTGAACATGAGTCAGATGTATCCAAGTAACAGTAAGTGAAATGTGAAAAAGCATACATGACACCAGACACTTTCAACATCTTTCTCTCAAGAGGAAAATTTCAGACATCTCTCTGTAGTCAGTTCTTTTCTAGCTACATTTAAAAAAAAAAATGAATGGCAAAATGTTCTCCCTTCTCATTTTATCATTTATGGAGAAAGTTATACGAGAAAAAGAAAGAACAATGTTTAGTATATTCTACATATACTATTTTATAATGTCCTTTAATACCAAGACATATGAGAACTCATAAGACACTGCTGAATAGCAAGTAATATATAAAATCTAGAAAATAATAGTTCTTTATGACAAAAATCTGGGTCTGTATTGCTTTATTAAGATTTTATTAACAGCTATTTACATTCTGTTGAAAAAATTGAGTTGTAAAGTTTTATTACAAATTAAAAATGAGGTTCTTAATAATCTCAAATTATCCAGATATGAAATAATTTTAAAAACAAATCTAAAGTGTATGAGAAAAACAAAACGCAAATTTAAATGATGCTTCTCATTCCCAATGATGGGCAGGACAACTACAAAGGAACTCAACAAAGATACAGAAGATCTAAATAAAACAACCTACCAACTTGACCTCACAGATATATACAGAACACTTCATTCAAAAGCACCACAGTGCACATTCTTCTGCAGTACACATAGATCATTTTTCTAGAAGAGATCATTTATTAGGCAACAAAGCAAGCCTTAATAAATTCAAAAACATTGAAATAACTACAAAGCATTTTCTTTGATCATAACATTATCAAACTAGAAATCAGTAACAGGAAGAATAAGGAAAAAAGAATCAAATACAAGGAAAATAAATAACACTATGCTTAAATTCTACTGAGTAATAGAAGAAAATTAAAAACATAATAAAAAAAATTCCTTGAATCAAATGACAATGAAAACACAACATACCAAAACTTTGGGGCATGGTAAAAGCAGTGCTCAGAAGAGAAGTCATGGTAATAAATACAGACATCAAAAAAGAAGAAAAACCAAAAAACCAAACTCACTGCCCTCGAGTCAGATCCGACCCATAGCGACCCCTCCCTGGGTTTCCAAGGTGGTATCACTACAGTAGATTGCCCAATATTCCTTCTGAGGAGTGGCTGGTGGGTTTGAACCACCAGCCTTTAACCATACAACTCAAACAAATAGAAGAAGAGCAGCAAAAGCAGTCCAGTCACCAGAAGAAAAGAAGTAACAAAGATTAGAGCAGAAATAAATGAAACAGAAAAAACAAAAACAATAGAAAGAATAATCAAGACCAGAAGTATGTATACTTAAACCTTCATGTATAGTCACCATTTATGTTGTTGAAAAAAGGTATTTGCAATGAGTAAGTTGTTGGTTTTGCAAATAGTTGTTGGTTTCTATCATGTAATCTCTGGAATCATTTCTATCACCAAGGCCATATTTTCCAACTACTGATGCTGCTTCTTTGTTTCCAACTTCTGCATTCCAATAACCAGTAATTATCAATAGATCTTGACTTCATGTTTGGTCAGTTTTAGACTGCAGAAACCAAACCACCAAACCCACTGCCGTTGAGTCAGATCTGACTTATAGCGACCCCTCCTTGAGTTTCTGAGGCAGTATCACTACAGAAGTAGATTGCCTGACCTTCCTTCCGAGGAGTGTCTGGTAGGTTTGAACTGCCAGCCTTGTGGTTAGCAGTCAAATGCCTTAGGCACTATACCACCAGGGCTCCAGTCAGACTGCAGAAGTTGGTAAAAATTTTCAATTTATTCATATTTGGCTTTAGTGGTTAGTGTATAAATTTGAAAAACAGGCATATTAACTGGTCTTCCTTGTAGGAATATGGATATTATCCAATCTTGAATTTTTTTTTTTTTTTTTTTTTTTTGACGATGAATGAGATGCCCTTCCTCTTTAATGTCATTCCTGGCATAGTAATAATAGACCATATGACTGATTCAAAATGGACAACAACAGTCCATTTTAGGTCACTTATGCCTTGAATATTGATCTTTATGTGTTCCATGTCATTTTTTACAACTTACAATTTTCCTAGATTCATACTCTGTAATTCCATGTTCTTATTATTAATGGATGTTTGCAGTTGTTTTAAGGCGCTCTGGTGCCATAGTGCCTAAGGTATTTGACCGCTAGCCAGAAGGTCGGTGGTTTCAAACCCACCAGCCACTCCACAGAACAAAGACTGGGCAATCCACTTCTGTAAAGACTGCCTCGGAAGCCCAAAGGGGGTCGCCATGAGTTGGAATCAACTCAATGGCAGTGAGTTTGGTTTTCTTGGTTTTGCAGTTGTTTCTTCTCATTTTGAGTTGTGCCACATCAGCAAATGAAGGTCCTAAATGCTTTACTCCATCCACATCATTAAGTTTGACTCTATTTTGGGGAGGGAGCTCTTCCCCAGTCATATTTTGTGTACCTTCTAACCTAAGGTGGAGCTCATCTTCCAGCACTACATCACACGTTTCTCTGACATTCACAAGGTTTTCAGTGGCCAGTTTTTTCAGATGTGGACCCGGAAACGTCCTTCTTCCAAATCTGTCTTAGTTTGGAAGCTCTGCTGAAACCTGTCCACCATGGGTGATTTTGATGGCATTTGAAATACTGGTGGTATAGCTTCCAGCATCATAGCCACACACAAGACACCACAATCCAACAAACTGACAGATGGGTAGTGGCCATTTATGATAGCCCCCAAGAAAGACAAAATACTTAGGAATAAACCTACTAGTGACATAAAAGACTTACACAAAGAAAACTACAAAAACTACTGCAAGAAGCAAAAAAAGGACATAGATAGAAATGTACACTATAATCATGAACAGTAAGACTTAACATAATAGAAATGTCAATACCACACAAAGTGATCTATAGATATAATGCAATTCCAATCTCAATTCCAAGAATATTCTTTAATGAGATGGAAAAACTAATCACCAACTTTATATGGAAATGAAAGAGTCCCTAGATAAATAAAGCATTACTGAAATAGAAGAATAAAGGAGGAGACCTCACACTTTCCAATATAAGATCTTACTATACAGCCATGGTAGTTAAAACAGCCAGTGCTGGTACAATGACAGACACATAGACCAATGGAAAAGAATTGAGAACCCTGAAGTAAATGCATCCACCAATGGATAGCTGATCTTTGACAAAAGGTCAAAATTCATTAAGTGCGGAAGAGACAGTCTCTTTAACAAGTGATGCTAAGAAAACTGGATATCCATTTGCAGAAAATGAAATGGATGCATACCTGCCACCATCCACAAAAACTCAAGATGTATCAAAGATCAAAATATAAAACCTAAAACTATAAACATCATTTGTTGTTGTTGTTGTTATGTGCCATCGAGTCGGACTCGACTCATAGCAACCCCTCCTTGCGTTTCCAAGGCAGTATCACTACGGAAGTAGATTGCCCCATCTTCCTTCCGAGGAGTGGCTGGTGGGTTTGAACCGCCAGCCTTCTGGTTAGCAGTCAAGTGTCTTAGCCACTATGCTACCAGAGCTCCTCATAAACATCATAGACAAAAAAAATAGGGGAACCTAGGAACCGCAATATATGGTATAAATACACTATCAAACATAATTTAAAAATACAAAAAGAGCAGAAGATAAACTAGATGGCTGGGGCCTCCTAAAAATCAAATACTTATGCTCATCAAAAAAGCTTCTCCAGAAGAGTAGAATGAAAACCTAAGGGGTGAAAAAAAAATTGACAACAATATATCTGACAAAGGTCTAATCTCTAAAATTTATAGAAAACTCTAACATCTCAACAACAAAAAAACAAACAATTCAGTTTTAAAAATGGGCAAAGGACATGAACAGACACAAAGAAGATATTCAGGTAGCCAACAAATACATGAAGAGATGCTTGCGATCATTAACTATTCATCACCAGATCACACTGCCGTCAAGTTGGACCTGACTCACAGTCGACCGCTCCTTGGGTTTCTGAGGTGGTATCACTACAGAAGTAGATTGCCCAACCTTCCTTCCAAGGGGTGGCTGGTAGGTTTGAACTGCCACCCTTCTGATTAGCAGTCAAATGCCTTAGGCACTAGATTAGCCATTGTTGTTGTTGTTGTTATGTGCCGTCGAGTTGGACCTGACTCATAGCAACCCCCTCCTTGGGTTTCCGAGGCAGTATCGCTATGGAAGTAGATTGCCCAACCTTCCTTCTGAGGAGTGGCTGGTGGGTT